CCGACCTGCTCCTTTTCTACTGGATGGGTCTACCTTTGAGCAAGGACATTATACTTATAGTAATTTATTCACAGATAATGTCCTTGCTTTGAGCAACCCATTGAGTCTACCAAAATTGGATTCGTAATATGACTTCACAAATTGAATATGATTTCATGATGTAAAGTATGGTTTGAAAACAACAAAACACAAAAAAAAACTTCAACAATTTGAAATCTGTTAAGATTTTTCAAAGCTTCATTTTTTTTCAAAGCAAGACTTACACAAATTAATACAAGCTGCACATCACTCTAGCAGTTAGCAACTCAGAGAATTCTTCTGTTATGACTTTCTTTTAGCCTCCTTTTCTACTGGATGGGTCTACCTTTGACTTTGAGCAACCAGTACCACAATTGGATTCGTGTGAACTATGACTTCACAAATTGAATATGATTCCATGATGTTAAAGTATGATTTGAAAACGACTGAATTCACACAAAAAATTGCAAAATGTACTTCTTCAACAATGAAATTTGTCTAAAGTACTGATAAGATTTTTCAAAGCCCATTGGTCACTGCAAGACTTACAGTTACACAAGTACAAGCTGCACTTTAAAAGCACGTCGGCAGAACGTACTGCACCTGCGTGAAACCCATGTGTGTGTGTATGTATTGTACATAGCATTTCGTAAGCATTTCGGCAGAATGTCTCATATAAGGTTGTATTTACTCATATAAGGTTAGCATTTCGACAGTAGTGTCCAAATGTTATGTATGAAAGAATATCCTCTGCAACAGGCAAAATTCTGATGCAACGTTGACCAAAAACCCAACGAAAAACGCGAAAATACGGGGTTCTGCGCAGGCGCAGTGCATTCTGCCAACGTGCTCACTTTAAACATGTCAAAGTAGGCAGGGTTTGCATACAGTTTTCTTGACACTATAGGCATGTGTCAAGATACAGTTGCAACTTGCATCTTGAAAAATGCTTGAGAAGGAAGAATTTTAAGACAAGACAGGCGTGACCCTGGGTCGCCCTTATGTGTTTTGTTTTCCTCTTTTCTAAACACAGGAAAAACACAGGAGCTAATCAACACATGGTTTCTAAAATTCATATCAAAACAACTTCTTAATATTGTTCATTAAGGTGTGACCAATCAATTATGGTTGTCAATCATAATTATGTATTTTTAATAAAGAACAGGTCTGGTGTAATATCAGGCAACAGGGTATGTTGGAAGATATTTCCTTTTCCCAGCAGTATGTTGTGTACTTTTTGCTTTTCATAACAAAGGTAAAATGCAGGTGACATTTACTTTTAGTAGTTAAAACATCTAGAGTTGCTGTTACAATAATTTGACATCCTGTGTTCTAATTTAATGCTATTTTTTTTTACTTTAACACTATCTACGTATTTCTCTCTAAATTTCTCCAAGGTTGTTAAAAAGAGATCAATCATTATCAAGAAAGGTAAAAAAACAAGAAGACAACTTCTATGCCATACAACAAATAGTCACTCAAACAATAGACAGAGAGCAAATATGTATATATGTGTACTCCCGCGTTTTAAGTCATCAACGACCGGGGTTACTTTGTGAGCGGAATTTTTCTGCTAAGCAAAGTCCTTTCCACATCCCTTTTTAGAGTGGCACCTGAAAAACCCTCACGGAATTAGTAACTGCATTCCTAACTGGAATTGCTGGCTCTTTCCCCGTTTAGTCTGCATTTTTTTTCATCAAGCAGGTACTTCACAGCAGTACAGTGGACTCACCACTTCCTAGCTGAAGTGAATTATTGCAGTTCCTAATCAGAGTTTGTCAACAAGTGATTAAAAGCTCTCCAGTAAATGAGGTGTCACAACTAGGTGGGAGTATGATTCACCAGTACTAGAGTACTAGTTCGGTGACTTGAGCATAGAACTAGTAGTGAATAGAGGATTTTTCCAGACAGTTTGCTAAAATTGTCTAATGTTTGAGATGAGTTAGAACCTCTCTTGGAAACAGACAAAACAGACACCTGTTTGGGCTACTTTTAGTTTTACGAGTAATAGTGCTGCATACCTAAACCCAATTTTAGGTTCAGGTCCGGATTCAAGTCCAGAGGTTTAGGTTCAGTTCCGGACTTGTAAGTCCAGACCTACACCCAGGGCATATACAAAATTGCATGTTGGCAACCTTGCAATGTTGTCTGGGCATAACTTTGGTCACATAACATGGAGGCCGGTACTTGACGATGCCCGATAACAATGTTTTCTTCATTTTGCAGCAAAGATTTTACAATCTACAGAAGGTTTTAGGTGATTTGGAAAGAAAAGGGGTATGTGAAATGGTCTTTTAATTGGTAATAAGTCCGGACTCGGTTCTTGACTTTTAGGTTTTTTGGGACTTGAACCTAAACATTCTTACAAGTCCGAATCCAAGTCCAGTGAACCGGTATGCATCACTAACTAATAATCATGAAAGTAATTAAACTTACACTTTGGGGAAAAAAGTACTGTATATACTTCTGTATCATACATGTAGTATCATTCTATAGTGTAACTTCTAAGGTGGACCAATATGAATCTGTCTTTTTCTGGTCTATTCTTACATACAACTACATGATTTTTGTATAATTTTCTTCAAACAGAACCTCCCAAGTTGTTAGAAACAGCAACCACTGGAAAATCTAACAACTTTTCCCTCTCCGACTACATCAGCAACCACATGTATCAAACTCATTCAAGAGGAAATGCTGTATCTGATTTATTTTACAGCAATTTAGGGTTCTGAAGGCACACATACGTCATGACTCAACCTGTTCCCACCTTCCCAAATGTACTGACAAAAATCTTTTCAACCCGTGTTTCCAGTCGGATGACTAGCTCAGATAGGAATGCAGCCCCCCTTTTTTCCCAACTCCCAAACCCGCCAAGCCTTGTCGGCGTCTGTTTGCCGAGCTCGACACAAGATGGCAGCTCCTTTTTTCACGTCGGGCCACTTCAGCCAACGGAACTGCTTTGTTGTGTTCACAGCGCGGCCCACGATGGTGCTTCAACCTCCACTTGCCAACGCACCACCTGCTTGGCTCGGGACGGGAAGCAGCTTTGCGTTTCCATCATGAAACAGTGGCCAAAAATCCTCTTTCCCCCGACAGCCTGTCCATAATCTTGTCTACTAACACTGCTGAGAGTAATACCCTGGCTGCACAAACAGATCAAACTATTCTTTGTCTTCATGTCAACATGCTGTTTAGCTTCTTCTAGCTAAACTTTCTATAGTTTTCTTACTGAACATAAAAGTTTCCATCCCTAACTTTATTTCCGGTTGCTTTTTTATCTTGTATAGATAAAGGTTTATAAGAGATGGTCTTTTCTTTTTTGAACAAGGTGCCTTTCAAAACGAGGTTGTTTGTATGCCGCTAAAACCAGTAGCCATGTTGAAACCCAACGCCAAAACTTCATTAAGGTGCTTACAGACTTTTAAATCGGGTGTAATCAACCGAAACTCAATCAAGAAAAAAAATGCAAAGATGTGGCAGCTGTCTTGGTTGAACTCTTCTCAAGTATTTTCTTTCCAGATACCGGTCCCTTCCCCGAGACCTTTCACAGATAAAGCAGACGCTACTTGAACTGTGATACGTTCCCAATTAGGCAAGAAATGGAAGAGGCGAGGGGGTAAGCCGAACCCTTGCAAATTACGGACAAGAACTCCCGAAACATTTCACATCTCATGAGCAGCCTGGCATGCTAGTACCGCACCAGTGCCAGTCAATGTCCAGTCAAACATTCCAATACCACAACACAACTATAGGTGTCGTTCACAACGGTTCACTTTGCAAAATTTTGATGCCCGACCTGTAGGCAAGGGTCACTTCGTATGGTAGTGTCCCATGAAAACAGTGGGTGAAAAAACTTCAAAGCTTCCTCCCGACCCCTCCCCATCCCTCCCCAACACAAAGCAGATTTGTCCTGTTGATGGGGGATGAAAGAGACAGGCAACACCAGGGTCACGGACACATGTCGTGCCCTAAATGGATTCAACAAAAAAAGAGGTCGAAATACTTTTTCGGTTATGGTTGCATATTGGTCAAACTGGGTGAAAATTCAGCTTATCTAACTAGCTCTCTTTGAAACATCGTTTTTCAACAAAACTAAGTAAAGCACACCGATTCCTCACTGGACAGTACATAAACTGGTAGTTGCCTAACCTCCTATTTCTAAAACTGACAAACCGTAACTTTTTGTCTACAGATAAAGCCTCAAACCATATCCACTTAAAGTGAATGCAGACCTTTCTATCCAACAGAATGACAGACCTCCTAATACCCCCACTTCTTTTCACCCAAACTGCGCCTGATGTCAAGCATGCTCAATCACACACTGAGACATACAATTACAAATTGCAACCTACAAATTGAGCATGGTTGCCTGGACTGCTGTGCAAAGCACAAGCATGTTAGGAACCATGCCTACTCCTGAGTGGGTTTATATCTTCACAATTAACACTACACATTCCGATACAAAGAAATACCCGAAATGTTCTACATTCAGCGAAGATGAACATATAACTCACACTTTGTAACCCTACTGGGGATATCTCAACTCAAGAAGTGTCCACAAACTGTCCTGTGGACGGTATTTAAGGGTAAACACTGCCCTGTACACAAGAGATAATCGTCACCATCACAATGCCTGCTATCTCCAGCAGTGGGTAAAGTGCTTGCTGACAACGATTCCTTCCCATCAGGCAGACACTAAGCAGGGCAGGATGTTCCCGGCTCCCAGACAAATGCCTTGTAAACTTCCCTGGCCATTAGAGGTGTTGGTGACACAAGCCATGTAGGGCTGTCTTAGAACGAGAATTAACAGTACAGGGCTCTTCACTGAATAAGGAACAATGGGTCCGAACCATCGAACTGAAACTACAATACCATGTACAGATGTAAGCTTATATTCTACTGGAAATTTGTAGTAAAACATGTCTACTCTTGACCCCCAGAGTAAAAACTATTAGTATGAAGATAAGAAGATAGTTTCTCACCTGAGTGGATCGGGTCCTGGGCGTAGAGGAAGACTTGTCCACGACGTACACTTCCAACGTGAAACTGTCATGTCCCTCCTCGCGGTCTAACACAACCCCCGTTGTAATCCGACCTGACGTACGGCCAATCGCGAAGTATCTCCCAACGGAAATATCCCCCGACCGAATGCTCGTGATGTAATATTCGATGGTGGCACTGTGGCCGTCGGAATAACTAGCGCGGACTGACGTTACGCTGGTTCCCACGGGTTGGTTCTCGTGCACGATCCCAGAGTAGCTGCTCCTAGAGAACGCAGGTCCGTTGTTGCTTGTGGACGCTATGAAGAATATAATCTCCGAATTCGTCGACCTCCTTCCAGGCCCCTGGTCTGTAGCACTGACCACAAGGGTGTAGAAGGTTTGGGAGGGATTCAAACCCTGTGCAAGAGTCACTACACCTGTGGTTCCACCGATATCAAACTGGTTAGTGTTCCCGCTCGTCTCAGAGTACCTGACTTCCCCATTTGTGCCCTCATCTGGGTCTTCTGCGACCACGTTCAAAACGACATCTCCCCTAGATGCACTTGGAGCAATGGCAGCCGCATCCTGGGACACGAACAAAGGATTGTTGTCGTTCACGTCCCTGATGATGACGGTTATGACTTTGAAGGCGTGCCTTCTCTCCGAAACAGGGATTGCTTGGTCTGTCGCTCTCACGGTGATGTCAAAAGTGTTGGCAAACTCTCTGTCAATCTCTGCGCGAGTGAATACCTCGCCTGACGTGGGATTCACCGCGAACTGGTCACCTTGTGGAACCTGGCTGGCGATGGAGTACCGAATCTCCCCGTTGCTTCCTGAATCCGGATCGTTTGATATTACCGTGGTGATGACGGTGTTTAGCCCAACCCCCTCTGTTATCTGGCGTACTGTGTCGCCCGGTGGGAAGGTAGGCGGGTTGTCGTTCGAATCCAGGACGTTGATTTCGAAGGGGATGACAGTGGAGAGTGGTGGTGTTCCGTGGTCTGCTGCCGTTATGTTGAGACGGTACGAGTTCGTGCTTTCGTAATCCAGAGACTTGAAGAGGTACAGCTTGCCTGTGTAGGAGTCTAGAGTAAAGGTGCCGTGAGCATTTCCACCACTGATGCTGTAGGTGATTTCACCATTCGATCCAGCATCTCCGTCAGTGGCGGTAAGAGTTGTAATGAGGTCATTGACTCGTGTGGACTCCAACACATCGGCTGTTTGCGAGGTGGGGGTGAAGACAGGTTCATTGTCATTTTCGTCAAGAACGGAGATGTTGACACGACACTGAGAACTGAGTGGGTTCTCATCTGCTGAGTCGCGGACATCGATGACAAGCGAATAAAAGTCTTCAACTTCTCTGTCCAATAGCTGAGCCAATGTGATCTGGCCTGAGCTCGAGTCGATCAGAAACTTGCCTTCGTCATTCCCTTCTGTGATGGTGTAACGCACGAGGGCGTTGTTTCCGTAGTCCATGTCGGAGGCACTAACCCTAACCACCTGCTGGGTCCTCTGGGCATTTTCTGAGATGGACACCTGGTACGTGTCCTGAGCGAAGCGGGGCACGTTGTCGTTGATATCACGGACTGTGATTTGAAGAGTTGCCCTGTCTTGCAGTGGAGGGTCTCCGCTGTCAGTCACAGCGACTTCCAGAGTGAACGTGCTCAGCCCAGTGCGTTGGATCAAGTCCTCGCGGTCGAACATCCTCAGGCTTGTGATAGCGCCAGTGGAAGGGTTGATGGCAAAGTCAGACTGCTCTGTGATGAAGGAATACCTCAGCTCTGCGTTGGTCCCAGCATCACGATCAACGGCCGTGACCAAGGCAACCATTGTGTCCGCAGGCACCTCTTCGTCCAAGAAGAGATTGTACGTTGCATTAGCAAAGAGCGGGCGGTTGTCATTCTCGTCGAGAATTTCGACTGTAACATTTGCGATGGCAGATTTTGCTTCCACCCCGTTGTCTTGTGCCTCAACACTCAACACATACTGGCTCTGTACCTCACGGTCGAGAGCATTTTTGATGTACAAGTTTCCATCTGGAAACACGCCAAACCTGTCTCCTGCATTCCCACCGGTAATGGAGTATGATATCAACCCATTCAGACCAGCATCCTCGTCTGTTGCTGTTACAGAGAAGAACTGGTCGTTGACTGGCTGAGATTCTGGAATCGCAGTGGAATACGAGGAGGAAGAGAAGACAGGGGCATGGTCATTGACGTCACGCACTGTAACTGTGAGCGTCAGGGTAGCAGACTGTGGAGGCAAACCTCTATCTGTTGCCTGAATCTCAAGGACATACTGGCCAACTTCATAGCTCAGTGCCCCTGCGAGAGAGACAATGCCCGAGTCTCCATTCACTTGGAACTTGTTGCTGGGATTTGTGATGAGCTCGTACGTGATCTGTGCATTAACACCGTCGTCTGGATCTTGCGCTGCCACCTCGTAAACTTCTCGGCCAACGGGCCAGTTCTCCACTGCATCTGCTTGTGCGGAGGCAGTTGGAAAAGATGGTGGGTTGTCGTTCAAGTCTCGGAGGGTCACGTTCACTTGCGTTTGCCCAACTATTCGCCCGCCGCTTGCTACCACGGCCAGTGTGTACAACGGGTTCTGTTCCCTGTCCACCTCCTTGGCTGTCGAGATCAAGCCAGTCTGGGAGTTGATCCGGAAGATCCCAGCGGGATCACCAGAGAAGATCGAGTAGGTGGCATTGGCGTTTGCATCACGGAATGTTGCACTCACCATTCCGACTGACTTTCCGATTTCCACGTTCTCAAAGATGACAAAGTTGTACCCAGGTTGGCTGAACTCCGGTGGGTTATCCTGTATGTCCACGACTGTTACGTCAATGGTGGCGGGGGAAGCCGAACTCTGACCTGTGCCGTCGCGAGCGGTGACCTCCAGCTGGTACGAGGCTCGCTCTTCCCTGTCCAGCTCGGCTGTCGTGGTGATCTGGCCACTCTGAGGGCTGATCGTAAACTTCCCGTCCGGGTTACCCCTCGTGATCTGGTAGGTCACTCTCCCGTTCGAACCTGCATCTAAATCAGAAGCAGAAACTTGTACAACACTTGTGCCTGAGGGCTGGTTCTCCCTAATGCTTGCATAGTATCTGACTGGGTAGAATACAGGACTGTTGTCGTTTAGGTCTCCAACAATGATGTTGACGTTGACGGCTGATTGTTGTGGAGGGTTGCCACGATCTGAGGCTCGGACCACCAGGGCATAGAGATCTGTTGTCTCACGATCAAATGTTACCAGAGTGTCAATACGGCCTGTGTTGGAATTCAACTGGAAGATACCTAAGTTTGCTGTCTCGGTATCAAATTCGTAGTAAACCTCTCCGTTGGTTCCTTGGTCATCGTCCTGTGCCGTGACTGTGATGACTTCTCGTGGTGCGTTTTGGTTTTCCAGGACTGTGACGTTGTACACAGTCTCACTGAAGGTGGGGATGAAGTCATTCTCGTCGATGATAGTGATGGTAAGCTGCGTGTATGCTGTGAACTGGATGGAGATGCCTTGGTCGCTTGCTGAGATGTTCAGGACGGCCCCATCTGCGACCTCGTGGTCCAGCTCAGCCTGTGTTGTCACAAGCCCAGTGTTTGCGTCGATCATAAACCAGCCATGCTCGTTCCCTGATACTATGGCGTACCTAACCTGCGCGTTCAGACCAGAATCGTCATCAGTCGCTGTTACGCCCTGAACATAGCTGCCAACGGGAACTCTTTCACTGAGCGTGGTGTTGTACCTTGTTCTTTCGAACACGGGTTCATGGTCGTTGATGTCGTTCACGTAGATGATCAAGTTCGCAATAGTTCTACGGGGTGGATTCCCGTGATCAGTCGCCCTCATGGTCAGATTGTACTGATCTGTGATCTCGCGATCCAGCGATCTGGCAACCTTCACAATACTCAGCCCGGGTACGTGCGTCACCTGGAACGTGCCCTGTTCGTTACCGGACAGAATTTCCAGATCTACTTCCCCATTGGGTCCCTGATCTGCATCTGTGACGGTAACCAAGGTTACGACAGTATTCACCGCAGCGTCTTCTTCAACCGACGCAAACTGTGCACCAATAGGGAAATACCTAAATCCAATCGCAGGATCGTGATCGTTTTCATCCACCAAATTGATGGTAATGTACGCCCTGCCATATTGGATGGGAGACCCGTTATCGTGAGCCTGCACGTTCACGTAATAGTTGTTGTTCTCCTCGTAGTCAAGCTCCTGTAACGTCGAGACTACGCCGGTTATGGGGTCAATCTGGAACTTTGTTGCAGGCTCCCCCGAATCTAGCAAGTACGTGATTTCGGCATTTGTGCCTTCATCAATGTCAGTGGCTCTGACGGTTAACACGCTGGTGCCCACGGGCGCGCTTTCGTTCAGACTAACAATGTACTCGCTCTGGTCGAATATAGGTGGGTTATCGTTCGAGTCTCTTACGCTGATGTTAACTAACAGGTAGCCATAGCGCGGCGGGCTGCCGCCATCTTGTGCTGATATGTTCAGCTGATACGAAGACCTGATCTCCCTGTCTAGATTCTGGTTGGTCTGCAGGTGCAAAAACGACGCCTCTCCGCTTGGATTCGTCGTGACGACCAACTCGAAAGTGTTGTTGGCATTCCCTGAAACAATCCTGTAATTGTCTGTGATGTCGTTATTACCTATATCTGCGTCTGTCGCAGTGTCTAAAATGACCTGTGACCCAGTCCTCGCGCTCTCTGAGAACGAGATTTGTATACTTGGATCAGGGAATACGGGAGAGTTGTCGTTGATGTCCAGTATGTCTATTCTGACTTCTATGGGGATTGTGGAACCACTGGATTGGATGGAAAGCACTACTAGATCTAAGGAATCGTCCGTCAAGGCTTCTCTGTCAATCTCCTGTGTTGTGCGGATCTCACCAGAGTTGGGATCCAATCTAAATATTCCTGGGTCTTGGTTAAACCTATGGGGCAAAAAGAAACACTTTTGTTACCAAAATAGGGCATATATATTAGACATATATAAGTGGTTTCTGTCTCTACTAAAACATAATATAAGTACTATGCAAACATGTAATATTTAGTGAACAGCATACAATACATATGTACAATGTATCAAGAAATACAAACTTCATTTACAAATTTCAAATAGCTTGTCTACTTTGCTGTAACAAACTGAACAAAATACGTAGACTTTCCAATGTAGGATAAGACCTGTTATTATTCAAATCTGTCCTGTTTTGGGTGGAATTAAAATATTTTAACACCTAATGGTGGGTGTCAGATTAGGCACAATAGGTTAATCAACCTGATGTCTTTCTACCCCTTTAATGCATTTTGGTAAAGAAGGCGTGAAATTCCTTGATCAGAACCAGGCGTCCTGCATATTTCCAGCATGAAAAAGCTCCTCTGTTCCCTGTTGTTGAAGATGACAGGAAGGCCCGGGCAAATTTGATATAGGATATGCATGTCCAATCTCTTTTCAGCACATATGCATTCCCCCTGTCAGCTAAGAATGTGCTGCTAAACTCAGTCTGGTGTGTGGTCAAGTCTACCACAGTCCACCTAACAACTTTGTACAAAAAAACAGCTACATGGAGAACTGAGGATATTTCCTTTTCAAATTTGTTGAAAATTTACAGGGGAACCATATTTTTCCCAGTCTCTGATCACTCGTGCATAGTCAGCAATTCAACTGACTGGAAGGAACAAAGGATTTCTTGAAGCTTGACTAGGCCATTGCTATAGATCTAGAAGTATTCTACAACATTTTTCATGCTACTAAAATATTTTACAAAAGAAAAGTGTTGAAAGTTGAAGCATGTTGGTGAACTGAAAGGAATACATAAAGCAAGTTGTTTTCTCTATTTTTCCAGACATCAATTTCAAGTTGTCTTCAAACCAGACAAACTTCCAACTGAGGCAATACACATCGGAGGCTTACAAGCACAATGGAAAAGAAACCAGTTTCACAGATGTAAATATGTAAATAATGACTTGTTGTCTGTGAAATAGCTCAATATTGACCAAGGTCAACACGTTAACACAGAGCTCTAGAAATTGAAGCTTTTCAAATCTTAACAAATTACTTTATTTAAACGAAGTTGAATGCCTTACAATCTACCTAATTAACAGACATACATCAAAATTTGTGTACACTGCTTTTTAAAGCTTTCAATTGATTCTAATGTCACCTTTTTCTGAGCAGTTTTTAGCATCTTTTTGTGATATAGTTTGCACCACATTGTTAATTTTGTCACTACCTCAATGAAGCACTTTGAAAAAGTGTCGAATTCAGATATACCACTAGAAAATTACACCTTCACGAACAAGTTTTCTTAGTTGTTTTTGGTTTGCAAATTTTCTTACAAATTATACAATTCAATCCTAGCCCCAAGCTACAATCAAGATTGAACCTCCTAGCTACAATAGAGACATTACTAGAGACCGTGTAAAATTGAAACGACATGGGGGTAAAATGTGGAGTGTGTCTGCTAGGAGCAAGGCCCTGATTCTCCTCCTACAATATAAGATTCTTCAAGTCTCTTGCACGCATCGATAATTCTGTCTTGAAGAATCTTTTGAGAAACGTACCGAAGTGCCTGAAAGTGACAAGCTCTGTGGTGAGTGGAATTTAAACATTTTTCGGTTCATTTGAATGAACCAAAGCGTCTTTGGATCTCGCAGCTAACCCCCAAGGCGTATAATAACTTCTTGGCAATGTCTTGGACAGGGAAGAACATTTAGGAGTATGTCCAGCAAAGATAGGAAGGTGAAAATACATCTTATTTCTAATGTCTATATTTCAAATTTAGAAGTACAATTTACGCCTGTGATTGAAATCTATGAGTACTAATTTACCTTTTAACCATTTTTAGGGTTAACATTTAACTTTAATTTGGAGCAGATACGGTTACAAGGACATAAATTTTCCACCAACCAACTTCTTCGGTTGTGTTTGCAATGAGAAGTGTGGAAGGAGGTGATTATCCTTTACTTACAAACTTACAAACCTGGTAACAAGGTACGAAATGTTTGAGAAGGCGCCCTCTCTCAACACTTGACGATTTGCTGACGATTTTAACTACAAGCTACGAACGTGTACCGCTTGTTTGGAGAGAAATCGTTACGTGTAACTTAATCATTTTCCCTGTTGAACTTTATGTAAAGATTCGGAAGGGCTCGAGGTTTTGACTTTGGAACGTAAAGCTAAATTTGGTTCCGAGGAGGCGAGATATTTGCCCCATGCCGGCGTTGTGTTTGATTTTGAACGCCAGACCTGTCGGTATCCAAGGAAAGATTTGTGGAGAAGTTGCTATGATCTAGAAGGCTAGGGGAACGTCTTGAAGACGCTAGGACTCACCTGTAAGTAAATCCAGGCTGTGTTGGGATGTTACCGACGAAGGTACCGGATGGTTGTCCCTCTTCGAGGGAGAAGGCGACTCGCGCCGAGCTGGCTGCTCGGTCGGCCGCCTCCTGTCCCGAGCACAACAGAGCCCGTATTAGGAACAGTAACGTGAAGTAATAGGGCTTCCAACGAGTCCTAACCCTCGGGGTGGCCATGCTTGTGGTCCCGAGGAGTGGGGACCTCCTTCCCGTCGGGGCAGAGGTAACCCTGATCGGGCTTGAGATCACCACCGGGGCTTGGAAACGTGAGCGGTCGGCGAAGCGTGCAGGTCACCGCCGACCATGTTTGGGACGCTCTCCGGGCCAAGGCACAGCGATGCGACGGTAAACAACACAACACACTTCGCTACAACGCCTCCAGGAATTCCTTCTGGTCACCTTTACGGGCCAAAATGTAGGTTTTTGGACCCAAACTGTCCGTCCGGTTGTGTGGTCTTTTTTGTTGCTGGGGTCCGGGTGCAGTGAAATCAGATCTGCCTCCACACAGGAACCAAACACCTTGCACACACCCGACAAAACTCCTTCAAAGTCACGATTTTTACCCCAGAAACGTCCAAAAACACTGAAATCCGTAATCCAGAGTCCTATCACATGTCCTGAATCCGCCTCGAGTGTCAACAGTGCCGGAAAAATAGTGTATTTTCGCACTTTCTTGCCTCCTTTCTTCTCTTCACCTCACACCGTCGGCGGTTGCTGAAATGGACAAACTTGGCTGCCCCTCCACTCCGTGCACTGGGCGGAGTATCATCTACCGGAGCTGTCAATCAAACAAACAAAGGGCTGTGGGCGGAGCCTAACTGCGTTACTGACAAAGTATAGGCCCCAGTGAAACCTTATTCATTTGTTTGTCTATTTGATCGGTTGATCGATTTTGTTTTCTTTTGTATTGTGTGTTCCATATTCCCCGATGCAACGTATGAATATATTATGCGTTGCCGATAAGCACTATATAATGCAGCAAAAATACAAAACATGATATATACAGGCCGAGTTTGCAATAGCGAAACACAGAATTATATGTCATACTATGAGTCATGTGCTTGCAAAATAGGAGATCTAAAAATATGTCTCACAACAAAACATGCTAAGGCTAAAGTAGGGACTAATTTCTAGTTCTATCGTATGGAAAATTCAAGTGTTCTCTTGAGCATTCAGTGACTTTTGACATTGTACGATGTTGCATAAATCCATTGTCGTAAAGTAAACACTATAATTTTTCATGTGGAGATAATGTAAAATATACCCTGTTAACAAATGCCATTGCACGTGGCAGATCATGTTGTTAAGAAATAAACCCTTGCATTTTCTTCTCTTGGTACGTTTTGTTGGTTGACCTTTCGAAAGCCTTCGCCCCAGACATAGGTGTCACGTGACTAGTACCCATGTCAATCATCTGGCGGAAGCCTCAGGCAAAAGGGCCGTCCGTTACCATGGTTACCACCCGAAGCCGTCTGCTAGAGGAGTTAGGCAGAGTTTACACGTGAAACAATGGTATGGAAATAATAAAAAAACTCGAACAACAATCCATTTTGTAACCTTACTCTTTATTTTTACATAACTGCATAAGAAACAATACGATGCCCCTTTTTCGTGTTTTTTTATAAATAAAAGAAATATGTCCAAAACGATATCTGATCTATTAGTCTATTTGGCGATCAGAACCAGCTAGAATATCAAACGTCTACATTTAGGGCGAATCGTCACTAATTAAAACTGAATGGGCTAATTCCACCTACCGTTGAGGGGGGTAGACACTGCTTTGAAGCGAAGGCGGCATTTTCACTTTGATGTCTCTTTAGTTTATAATCACATTAAAGTGTTCAATAGTTTAGCTTCCGGGCCACTGACTGTCTGTTCTGTTATATCTTATCGCTTTTCTTCTGTCTTTCTTCCTTTCTTTCTTTTTGACGACGTGAAAGTTAGGAGAGTATTGTTGAAGAGATAATGAGACATACTCTGCTAATACCACTAAAAACGACATTATCAATTCTTACAATTTTTCTTTTCCTTAATTTTTAATCGCACATTGTAGTAACTTGTTATATGATGGCGGTGTTTGCTTTTGGCAAGCAACAGCAAATATTTGCTATATCTTAAAGATTTGGAGGATTAGTATTATTTGCTGATTATTGATTGGTTTATAAGACTGCGGGGTATATGATCGCGGGTATCTGTGAGGGCATCTGCCGGTAATGCCTGTACCAACATGTTGTGTTGTGTTTTTAAAACGACCGACCGTTTAGTAATCCCCGGGAATGTGTGTGTGTGTCATCGGAATCGATATTCAAGCTAGGATGCTAGGATGGTCTCGCATAGCTGTTTTGGTTACGTAATCTCCAAGCAGATGTTGGAAAGGAAGCTAGGATGCTAGGATGGTCTCGTATAGCTGTTTTGGTTACGTAATCTCCAAGCAGATGTTGGAAAGGAAGAGAGCGATTTTTTCTAAGTCAGAAATGACAGACTTTGCGCCTTTATGTACATGTACTTCCAGTTCCACTGACACATATAACAACACTGTACTCTCCAGGCAGAAATTTAGACTTCAGCTTATTCTTGATGTGTCTTAGGCGTTTTTATCGCTCTTTCTTTCTTTAATGGTATTCTTTTTACATGTTTTTTTTTATCTCCTGCCCTACAAATTTGATACTGTCTTGCAGTTGCAAAAACATATGCTTGAAAGTTGAACACATATACCTGTATTTGTAAACGCGCACACGCTCACACAAATTCACACACAGTCACACACAAACACATACACAAACACACACACACACACACTCACATACACACAGATTCACACACACACACACACACACACACACACACACACACACACACACACACACACACACACAAACACACACACACACACACACACACACATACAAACACACACACAGTCACGCACACACACACACAACCTAGAGATCAACTCAGATGACCTTGCTCTTGAACTTGCTCTGTGACTTCTTACGTGAGTGCAGCATGGTGACAGAAACGGATTTCTACGCATGCGACAGTAGCGTGCAGACTATGTTCCAAAACACCAGTAAGAATTCCGTAACAAAAGTATCAAAAACACTCTATATTCATCACAACTGATAAGTATCTTACCCGCATCCGCTTTTACTTTAGTTGAACAAAGAGTTTCATCGCACGTTACCTTGTTTGTCACGTAAGAAACAGTGACTCTGCAGATTCTCAATTTTGCCTAGAGCTCACTTCTAGTAATCTCCAAGCAGATCCCTCTCGGTGGCAAAAAGACAGTATCAAATTGGCCAGGCAGTATCCATTAGCCAGAGAAGGTCCGCGGCCACCGACGGGATGGATTAGCGACAAAAAAACGGCTATACATAAAAAGCTAACGATCATTCCCCCACAACCTCTGCTTGGAGAGTAATTTCTAGGTGGTGGCATATACTTTTTAGTATAAAGAAACCTCCTTGCATGTATTACAGAATATGCAAAGTAGATCATATAGTCGTGTACCATGGTTTAATTCGGTTCTGACTACATTGGTATTTTTGTCACAAATTGTTCGTTATGTGCGAATTAATGATTAAGAAATAAACAAACATCAATTCCTGCTCGTGCGCATGCATGGACGTTTGATACGCTCTTCAAACGTCTGGGCGTGTCCGAGCTTTGATCTCCAAGCAGATATTGGGAGGCTACATAAATCGTTATGTTTTAATTTCCTAGCTGTCCGTTTTCTGCTACCAACAGCCCTCTTTTTCTTGGTATTAGGCCATGTTGATTTGATTATATGGATGACATCCGCGCGCGCATGAATTTTCGGCCGTTCCCCCCCCAAAAAAAGGTTTCAACCATACTGTAAATCGTACAAAACAGTTGCAAAATGAGCAAAAATATACCATAAGTTACAAAAAAAAATTAATAAAAATTATACCAATGTCGAAGAATGCCAAAATCAAACAAAAAAGACGAAATTGTAAAGAAATGAACTTGAAGACTAGATTATTCGCCAAACCATATTCTGTGCCATTTGCTCAACCCTCATGACCACGTAGATTTCATAATGAAATGCAAAACTTTTTTTTTATTCGCACGCTCGCATCAGTTTTGGGGCTCCCGGAGGATGTCATCCATATAATCAAATCAACATGGCCTTACAATGTACAACAGAAACTAACAGGTAGGAAAACGTAACGATTATGCCTCTACAAATAGTATGCATTTTTAGTTAAAAACAGCAAAATACATCAGAAAATCGCGCTCCTGGTCAGAAATCAAAAGGTCTCCATGTCCCTATTTGCTTAGATTTGAATTGTGCTTTTAGACAAAAGTGCACAATTTTAAGGTGGGCCTGCATGCCCTTTTCATAAGGTGTAATCAGGCCTTTTTAGTCTTCGTAATCCGTAGCCTACCTCCACAAAAATCAACGTAATTCGTAATAGAACATTACCTGCAAAGCGTAAAGTCGTAATCAGCTCTGAGACTTAAACGTCATTCGTAATTGGCGGCGAAAATTTTGCGTAATTCGTAATCACTACCCCCCATTCAGGCCCTCTTTAAGCTATGCCGTTGGACCACAACATCTGCTTGGAGGCTTTAATTTTGTGTGGTCTTCAAACGTGTTCCCCGTGTGAGTGTGCCAGCGTAACGTCCTGCTAATTTACATACAACTGTGTCTGTACTGATATAAATCAGTCCACAAAAGCGGTGAGATTGGGTTTCCTGTAGACGTGAACGGGGGGCCAACGTTTCAATAGAGTCGTGTTACCCCGGCAGTGGGGACAGGGACCCCCGGAGCCTCACCTCTGACCTCTAGTGAGTACGGAAGAAAGGACAGTCCAACCAATGAAAGTTGTCAGGGGTGGTGTGGCTTTAAATCTTCAAGCAGATGCGTGATGTGGTTTTGTCACATGTATGGCGGTGGCTACAATGACAAGAAAAGGAAATGAAAAACGATGTACGAAAAGAAAAGAAACCGCATATCTGCTTTTTGATTGCGATATGGCAGTATTCTAGCCAGCGCCCGTTTTATATTAGCCTGGGTGCCATCCCCAGTAGTATTCGCCCGCTAGCGTACAACTAGTAGCTTCAGTGGTTCTTTATAGAGCGTGGCTCTTTATAGAGCGGGCGAATACTACTGGGAATGCACCCAGGCTTGTTTTATATGGTTATATACTAGTAATATTTAAGTTGCGAAGTAATATTGATGGTCTCGTATGGTATTTGATACTAAACTTTTAGCGAGTTTGTATATTTGTTGCGCAATAAAGACCATTCATTCATTCATTTCAATATTCAATCAATCAATCTTTATTGCGCAACAATTGCAATGGATACAATGTATGGCAAGTGTTTAAATCAAAAGATAACAACAATACTAAAATCTACTTCTATATACCTTATTCTAACGCTACCCTATAATTGTGAGTGATGAATTATACAATATATATGGAACATGGATACAATGTTAACATCAGTTCAAGGTGTCACAGATGATATTGTTTCTTTTCCGAATAGCAGAGGTTATGAATTGGCCTATATACAAGGATATTGGTACTCGAACAGGATTCTTGAGGAGACCGCAAGATAGCAAGAAGACTGGTCATAGTCGTATGTACGTCTGGCACCTTTTGAGCGAGTAAGAGTCTGATCATATTCGTCGTACGACCGTCGCACAATTGCAAACGGAGGACACTGGTCTAGAGTTAGTTGTGCATCATTTGTACGTACAAAACCCAACTGTCTT